ATGTCTGCAGAGGCAGCCTCCCGTTGGGATTTGGAGGAAATGGTTTTTGTTGCAGTGGGCGACAGGTTGAGGATGCCTCCCTGGTTGGTAGACGGAGGAAGAAAGGGGACGAACTTCATTGCTGTCGTGCAACTGTTGGTGTGGAATAAATAGATAAGTTTTACATGTCAGATAAATGTACAAATACCTTCTTGATTTTGGTAAATACCCATATTTTTAAATAATGTACAAATTTTTTAATTATATTTTGCTAGGCATGAAATTAACGTTTTTGCGATCATAGCAAGGCTTGTGCAAAGTTTTCAGATATACAGTGCGAGCTGTGCTTGATGTATATTTTTTCATTGCTTTCAGTACTGTGTTATTGTGGTCGCTATATCATCGAAATTTAATTCACATGCAGGCATGTATGTGAATGCAATATTTGCTTTTTATATTTACTAAGTTTTTAATGTTGTAGGTTTTTCTGTTGTTTTGTATTTTAGCAAGAATACCTGAAAAGGGAAATTTTGGTCATTGAAATAGTTTGTTATGTTACACTCATATTCCTTTGACGAGGTAAAAGGCGGTGTTCTCGAAGTTTCTATATATTTTCGGCTAAAATGCGTTTCCTTTCATATTTTCCTCGTTAGTTTTCCTTTTTTTGTGTAGTGTAGTATCCTAACTTGGTATAAAAGTGATGTTTGCGTTAGGCGTTTGGGTTTTTTTTATGTGGACCAGCTTACCTGTATCAATTTTATGTTCATGCACCGGATTTTTCTGCTCTTTTGTTCGTTGTCAGTTGTTAACTAAACTGTGCGACTTCTGTTTGGCACGAGGTAGTCATATGAAGTCATTTGTTTAGGGTTATTTGTGTTGGGCTATTACTAATGCCCTTTTTTCCCTTAACTCTTTCGTCGAATCTTTCGTTACGAAAGACTTTTAAGTTCTTCATTGATTGTTGTTCCGTTGCCGCTTTTGCCATTAAACTGGATGGTAGCAAATGCATGGCGTTAACGCATCCGAGTACTTTACAAGAGTGACCTGTGTTACAAATGTTCGTTTTATAGTCCAAGTAGATGTGCTTGGTTCGCTTGCCTTCTTATCTGTGTTATATGGTAGAAATGTTGCCGAGTATTTCTCTACTCTTGACTTTTAAATGATCCAGCGCTTACTATGAGAATCATATAATATCACATCCTCCTCTTGAGATAGTGCTTTGTACTACTTTGGGTGATCATTCGTTAAATCAATTTTGGTGGCACTCGGTATATCCGCACACTTTGCAAGCTTTTGTGTAACTCATAATATATAGATACTGTTCTGACTTATCACTTTTATAGTACATCATGTTTGATGCCGACTAGTCCATTAAGGCTGAAACTCGCCCTTGATCTTCAGCGGTTTCATATTTCACTGATTTTTCAGTTTTCTTTTTTTTAAAGTCATGATGGTTGAAGAGGATTATTGTTGTTCAGACGATACATTTGGACCCGAAGAACCAGATGACAATATTGATATGGTTCCTGAGGAATTCCGGCATATTGTTTTGTACAGAGAGCTTGATACTTTAGGCTCTCATTCTACTTTCAGGCAAAAGGTTTGCTCTTTTTTAATAAATTAATTATTATTTGACTAGTCACGGCGTCGACGGTGGACCCAACGCGATATGACAAACGCCTACAATGCTGTTAAGTATCAAGGTATGTCACTTAGGGGTGCTGCAACAGCATTTAATGTCCCTGAATCAACACTTCGGGATCGCGTACACGGGCGGGTCAGCCTAGAATGTTCACGTCCCGGACCTCCTACATTTTTCACTTTTGAAGAAGAAAAGAAGATGGTGGATCACATTCTTTTCATGAGTAAAATCGGCTATCCATACACGCGAAATCAGGTCGGTTTGCGAAGTGCCCTGTCATTAACATATTTCAAACTAACTTGACCAGCAATTTGAAGGCTTGCTTTGTAGTATTAGTCCCTCCAGATTGTGTTATGTGCTGCACGAATTAAGACTGCCTTCTTCACACAATTTATTTGCTTAATCATCCATAGCTCGGCAGTTTCTCGGCGACGTGTTCCTCTCCAAAACATTAACTCTCGGTCGCCCTTTGTGAACGATGGTTATTTAAAATCATACAAATAGTTAATCAACATTAAGAGATACGACGTACAGCGTAATGTTGTCATTAGATGAGGCAATACTTAAAAGATTGATTTGTCATGCACAATCGATTACCGTTCCCAAGGCTGATCCTATGTCAAGTTATAAGGAAAGTACTCAGGTCTAGAATCATGCGCACTTTGCCCTAAGTTTGACTAATATTTCATTTTTTTTCAGTTCATATGTGTTCCAAGGTGTCTTTGGTGTAACCGATTTCAAAAATCGGAATGGTAGTGGTTGTAAAGTCGATTTAGTTGTTGTTAACACCTGCACGTTCTTGTGATGGGTCAGAACTTGTTGGTTGCATCAATCGAGTAAAACCCGACAGTCATGAAAGCCTAATCACACGTTATTTAGGTGTAGCCTACTGCACCCCAGCATTAGATTCACTAATTGTGAATACTGTTAACTAATGACCTCTTACCGTATTTTCAGGTTGTAGAACTCGCAGGAGACATGACGAAAGCGGTCGGAAGAATCGCACCGTTTAAGTACCTTAATCCGAGTCAGGCCTGGTTCTACGCATTCCTCAATCGCTGGCCTGATCTGAAGAACTTCCTTTTCGGACCGAGAACCAATCGAAAGTCAAAGGGTGTTTCTGGGGACGCAATACAAGCTTACTTTGAACAGCTAGATAAAGTAATACTAAGTTTACCATAAATCCTTAATGTGGTCACTCTTCCTTGGCAGTAGAGGATTTTATAGGAATTCATTAACTCAGTCCTCACTCCATTTTATGACAGCGCCAGAGTTTCGCTTCATTCCTTTGAATCAATTTTCTGCTAGACCGAACCAAGGTTAACTGACAAGACCAGACAGTCTACGTAGTCAGTATTAATATTCTTTAGGAATAAATTGATCGTCGGAATCAATTTAATGGAGCCGTTTTTGAGAACTAGGGGTATTAAAAATTCGAATAAAGTAAACTTGTCTTGTCTAGAAAGTGTTCTATTGTCAGATTTTATAAGGAATTTAAAACGTGATAGCAGCATTACTCAGTTATGCCGTTGGTTATGGTTGGATTTTCTTATTAACCCTAGTGGATATTTTGTGGGTGCCAGCTTGCTAGAAGCGAAATCTACAGCAATCTTGACTTAGAAATACTAAACTACCTCTAATTTTTCAATTGACAATTCCTAACTTTTTAATCCACATGAAGGTATTGACGAAGTATGGAATCCGAGATAAGCCAGAGCACATGTGGGTGGTAGATGAAGTAAGCATCAGTTGTGAGAATCAGCCTCCTCGAATTCTCCCGATCGGAATTCAGCGCGCCCAATCGGTGAGTTACTGGAGCCCTACGGTGGCAATTATTGGAGCCGCCAGTGCCGCTGGCGAGAAGATTCCTCCCTTCCTTATCTATCATGGCGAATCCATCACAAGTGAGTTATTTTTTGCTATCGGCGGATTGATAAAGTTTGGTGGCTTCGTTTCAACTAATGGCAAGTTTTGAGTAGCTATTATCATTCCCATGTTTCTGGTAGTGTCTGAAACCTTTACCTCAACCTATTTTCCATCCAAATGAGCTCATCAATGATTTCAAAAACATTCGCAAATGATATCGTTAGAAGCCAATGCTGCCTAAAAGCCTATTTTCTCTTCGGTATCCACGTGGGTATAGATCTTAGCCTGGTCCTGATTTTCAACATGGGTCTAAATATTTCCAAATCGTTAAAC